GTAACCCATCGACCCCAGTATCCCGGCCCCTTTGGACCATGAGGCCCTTGCGCACGCACCTCTCATTCGCCTAATTGCATTCATACCCTTAAGACTCCCCCACTTTCCCAAAAATCCTTGGCACACCCCTTTTCGCACTTCCAGGCCCACATCCCACTCCGATCAGGAAGTCGCGCTGGGCGTGAGGTTGGGCGTCACCGCGCTCCACTCGCAAGGACACCGTTCGCTTGTTGACTACAGGGTATTCCTACCCTGCCCGCGTCGCCGCGCCTCCACCATACCCGTTGGGTCAACCTACCTTCCACGCTGCAATGGCGTCAACGTCTCTTGTCGTCCTCGTCAACTTCGAGGTCTTGGTCTCTGGCGTGGGGGGGGGGTGAAAAAAAAAAAGGATTTCCCCCTGAGTCATCGACGCCGGGGTCGTCACAATCTCTGAAAAGGAGCAAGCGGCCTAGCACGGTTGGTTAAGCATGCAAGTGCTGTTCAGGAGATCGTGGGTTCAATCCGCTCCTCTTGGTGCCAACCAGCTGGCTTGCTCCCCCCGTTCGGTATTGGTAGGGGTTTTGGCTATCAGGGGTGTGTGTGTTTGTTGTCATATTCGCTATACACTCAGAAAACACATGACTGGGCCAGACTATTTCGTCGGACTTTCACCAACTCATCAGGAGGTGTCGGGGGGGGACTGAGTGGGAGAGTGCTGGCCATAGACACTGCTGTTACTCAACGGGGGTGGGGGAAGTAGATGGGAGGTGCAGCTACTGGCAAAATGATGATGGGTCTTTGTGTTAACCGGCCCTCCTCACCAGCGGCCCCAAACTACTCCTTGACCACCGAGGCAACATGCATCCCCTTGATTGTGAGAGATAACTACACTTGCAGGGGTCCCCTCTATAGGCTTAGGAGCAGTGGTAGGTAGGTAGTGAACGGCGAAACTAAGAGAACGTGATAGGAACATCCTCCTAGAGTGGGGTCCATCATCCTTGATTGAACATAAGAGTTTGCAGATAATTATCTTGGGATCCATCTCTTCAATTGCCCTCCTCCAGGAGGGGGTTAACTGCCTTCCCTAACCCTAGGTCTCCTCGTTGCATTGGGTGTGCCAATGGTTTTTGGAAAATTGAGTGTGGAGACATGCGGGGGTTCATTGCATGTGTGTTTTCATGCGCAGGAGATGCTCTCTGCGCCTCTCTGCTCCACGTTCACGCTGCCGTCTTCTACCAAGTTCGCTATGTTGAAACCTGGGTGCCCTGGGAGGAGAGAGTGGGTATATGTGACGCGGCAGCTTCCGGACCTGCGCCATCTCCCCCCTCCCCCCCGTTTTTCTTGTGATCTTTTGCAACCAGAGCGAAGAGGCCTGCCCCTTGTCATTTTGATCGGTTTTTGGAATTCCATCTTTCCGCAATTCGGGAAATACATGGGAATTACGCGCGCCTTAGCGAGCGTGCTGGGGATTTGGCTCGACGGTTTAGGACTTCCGGAATAAGCGGGACCCGACGTGTCCTTTTTGTTCGTAAATGTTCTCGACTTCGACTCGAAAAACTATGGGAATTCTTATTCGCGCCCTTCTTCTTCCCGCACTAATCCTTGCTCCCGAATACCGTGTCGATTTCCTCCTCCTCCCCTCTAGCCAAAGAGCCGTGCCGTGTAAGAAGGAAATTCCTGTTACGCGATGATTATGATTGGCTACAACTGGGATCCAAAGGATCGACATGGCTTTCGTCGGGCGATTATCCCCGAACCTTCCCCTACCTCTCCCTACCTCATTCCCAACCCTCCCTAGCATCTATCTCCTTTTCCGCAACTATAAATTCTGCAAGCGCTACCGAAAATCTCTCTCTCAGCTCATCAGCCAGCTTCCGGGAAGCAGTGGCTTGGTGGTACGTGTGAACGTGCGAGTCAAAAAGTCCTGACGGGCTGACCGTAGTCTTCTCGGCTGTGCGCTGGATCGAGTAATGGCCCTAGGCCATCCAACCATCAACACACCTCATCTCGCTCAGGTACTGGCGACCCCGGCCACCGCATACTCAGCACCAAACCCCAACGATCGTCACCCCGTCCACTCAACTACTAAATGAATTCGCTCGGATCCTGCAGTCCGTCGCAGCTTGCGCAATCCCATAAAGTTGTAGCTGACTTGTCAGGACTTTCTGACTCACTGATCACCACCTCATCTAGCCACTACTCCACCAGACTTGGCCGATGTATTGCGAGAGAGAAAAAACGATGCGTTTGCAAGAAGGAGGGGAGCAAAATGATAAGGAGGAATAAAGGAAGGAAGAGATGAGAAAGAGGGAGATGCGAGGGCCATATCGATCCACGAACGGTACTTAGTAGCCAATTGGACGCAGTGTGAGGAGTCCAGAACCTTCTTACACACCATTGTGTGACTTCTAGAACTACTTGGGGGATCAGCATGGCCTTCCTACGTGTAGACAAAGGAGGGAAAGCAGGTTACGAGAAACAGTACGACGAGACCAAGATTCAACAGAAAAAGGAGAGAAGAAAGAGCGCAAAGAAAAAGGGTTGGGAAAGCGAGAAAAGATTGCATGAAAGAGCGCGGCGCAAAAGGATGCATGCGCTCAAAATCAAAAGGCACCAAAACACTTATGCAAAATGCCAGTGAAGCTGCACCTAATTGCTAAAATCGAATTGAAATTGAAAATATAAGAAAATTCCGCGTGCAAAATCTAAAACGTGTGAATTCCTACATCCATTCATATTCTACCATCCATCAACAAAAGAATTATGGGGCTTGCAGGGACATCTCCAAAATGTACATGTGGGCACTCCCGATTTCTGAACTTCAAGAAAAAACTGAGGAGAAAGAATACAGGTGCGCATAAATCCTATGTAAAAGTACAGCAAAAGACAAAAAAAATTCTGAAAATTGCAGAAACGAAAAGACAAGACAGCCCAACGTGTCCCATGCATCAGGGCCCACAACGGACAAGCCCTGTTAACGGCAAGAGGTTTCTGTGTTCTTCCCCTTCGTTGTCGGAGTTCCACCGGTGCCTTTGCTTCCCTTCCACGGTTATGCCATTTTACCTCCGTTTGCCCCCAATGCTCAGTGAGTGTCACACATCTGTAGACTGGGTAGTTTCGGAGTCGAGGGACAGGGGGCGGAGCAAGACATTGGGAGGAGGGGGGAGACACTAATAGGGAGAAATTTGCAGGTGGAGAGGGAGGAAGAGTTGGTGGTGGCTGTGGGGGAGTGGCCGGCTCATGACTGGGTACAAGGACAAAGTTGGGCTGGAGATAGGGGACCTGGAAGTCACTAAAGGGTTTTCTTTGTCAGGTGGGCTCTGTGCTTCTCCAGGGTTTCCGCCAGATGTTAAGTGTTGTGTCTAGGTTGGAGAATATTCTATTGGGATCTTGGCAATGACCAGAACACAGTCTTGTACTATATTGTCGTCAGAGACAGAAATTCAGAATTACTTTCTTTTTTTTTTTAAATAAAGGAACAAGGCTCCGATCCATTCGTCCCTGCGCATCAAAGATGTGTGTAATCCTTTCCACTTGGCTATTGTTTGAATTGCAGTTTCCACCAGTGCCTCACCATGGTCCTTTGGTGGACCCACTTCTTGAGGCATGATGATTGTCTTGGGTGCAATGACCAGAACACAGTTATGTACTATATCGTAGGCGGAGACAGAATGACATTATTGATTACTAAGGCCCTGTGCATCAAAGATCGTGGATCCTTTCGACTTGGCTATCGTTTAAGTTGCCGTTTCCACCAGTGCATCGCCATGGTCTTTAGGTGGACCTGGAGCTGTGATTCTCCACAAATGGTTAACAGATACCCTCAATTTTCACCCCTAGGTGCTGTTTTATATGTTTTTAATTTTTTTTTGTCGTTTTTTTTTTTTATAACAATATGTTAGTAAAAAGTGCACTCTACAGATTGGTGTAAAGTATGGTTAAAATGACCCTTTGGTTTTCTTATAATTTATAAATGAGGGTGAAAATTGGGGGGTCGGTTAACCTTCTCTCACCTCTAGGACTGTGACCGTCTCCGCTTCTGGCCGCTAATTGACTGCTGGCACCTTTGTGGGCCACCGTGCATCAGTTGTGGATCCTCGACTCATGCGGGCTTGTGTGGCTTTGATGAGGATTATAAGATTGTCTGCAAATAGGGAAGTGATTGGGATTCTGACCCTTGATATATCAGGACCTTCAGGGATAGATATTCTCTCTATGGCAGGGTTGGTCCTAAATTCCTAACCAGTGAGACCAGAGCTTCCATGACCAAGAGAAATCTGAATCGGGCAATTGGGTCACCCTGTCTGATTGACCTTTGCTATCTGTGCAATGTACTTACCCAGTGTCTGAAACCTGGGCCAATTTGTTTTTTGGCCAAACAAAAATCTAAGAAATCCTAGTCCACATGGTCGTATGCTTTTTCAAAGTTGATGAAGAGGGCGTCCGCTTCCACTTTTCTTTGTCTCCCATACCAGACGATTCCATTCACCAATAGCATGTTATCTTAAATGTTCTTTTTACGGCATCAATCCTATCCGGTCCCTGTGGATGAGCTGGTGAATGTGCGGTAAAAGTCAATTCCATAATATACTTCTGCTATCTTTCTTTCTTTATTTTTTTTTTTTTTTTTTTTTTTTTTGAGGAACTGCTGTGGGAAGCCTATTGCAAGGGTCGATAAAAGCAATCTCTTGCAATCAACCTTGCAATGACTCTTCCTCTGGTGGGAAGGCTCCAGTATATTGGTGGAAATCACCTGCTGGAAATTGGGTCCAGGTCCCTTCTAATTTACAGCCAATTTATAGCCAGATCACACACTGGTAGGCAGTCTGTGATCCATCAGAATAAAATTCAATAAATCTACTAGCACAAGCTAGTAAGCATAAATGATAAATGTTTTTTTTTTTTTTTTTTTTTTTAATTTATTTATTTATTTATTTTTAACAAGTCTGCAATTGAAATAGGCAGTTGGTTTGAGTTGTTTGATCACAAGCATGCAAGTAGACAGTAGCCCGCAGAGTACGCAAACACGTACAAATCGCTTGACATGGACCAATTGAGAATTGAAAAAAAAAATATTCGTCATCAGAGTTAAAAAAAAAAAAAAAAAAAAAAAAAGTCGTTGTCCAGGATAGGCAGCCGTTCTTGCCGACTTTGTATACACATAGCACTTTTAGCCTTCTAGGGCCTCAGCTTGAGAATGGGTCAGGCTGACTCAGGCATGATGGTCGAGCCCAAACATCACCAGCGTGATGAATAGTTCACGCTGACTCAGCGTATACTTACGCTAGCACTCGTTACACGTATCTGACTGTACGTACTTACAGCTGATGCTGCATTTATCTATAATATAACCGGATATATCTGCAATTCCATCCAGAGATCAGTAGAAAAAGTCCTTCCTACCTCGAAGCACCACTATATACCTACCCGCTGTGCAGAATTTGGCAGAAAAAAAAACTGTTGCTGGTACAGCTGGGGATGGAGGAGACTCCTTCCAAGTCAAGACCGCAGTCAAGGAGTGGATTAAGGGATGACACCTGGCTGCACAGCCACAACACACATGCCATCGAATGTGCATCCCTGGTTCGATTCGGTTGGTTCTTTTTGCTTTTTTTTTTCTTTTTCTTTTCAGACACTGTCAGTGGGCCCCAAACAAGTTCAGACTCTTTCAGAGACAGTCCATGTATCCATTACCAAACCTGCAGGGTCGCCAGACTCGGAAATAGGGTGGCGGTTTCGCACACGAATAGTTCAGTACATACTTGCAAGCGGACGCCGTCCCGGCGGTTCCGCATGCGGCAGACCGCCGGACCGGACCCGCGCGGCGCACGAATGTGCGGCCGACAACCAGTTAGGCCCCMCCCCCCCCCCCAAAAAAAAAAAAAGGCCCCGTCCGGTCGGGTCCGGGTCCGTCTGGTCCGGGGGGAGGGCGGCGCACGCGGCAAAGCGGACCAGACCGGACGCTCATCCGGTCCGTAGACCAGGCCATAAATCGGATTACTGTGTGAAACCGCCATAAATCACCCCTTTCCAGTTCAGTATATAAATGTGACATGACATAAGCTCTTGCCATAAATCACCCTCTGTATTGCCACTGGCAGTGAAGCGAGACAACCGGAAATTCATGCCCTCGGATTACTGTTCTGCCAGATTTACATATTGGATTGCAGAAGAGCTGCTGCATATGGTAGCACACCTTAACTTCATGTTTTTGTCTGAGTCTGTGCAAGGGGGGGGGGGGAAATATAGACAGTCGAGTGCGTGTTGTGTACAAGGGGAGAAATAAAATGGTGGGTTGCT